TCAAGATTGTTTACATTTATTTAAGTACCTAAACAGATGGACTATAGTCAAAGTCAAAGTAGAATAATCTTTATTTCATAGGTAAGCAAATTACACATGAAATGGTCGTACTGATTAAACTCTACTGCTCATTCGTAAGGCAGATGGCCCTGAGAAGAATAAGCAGGAAACTCTAGGGTTTGTTCTATGTAATATACATTTGAATACATTTATCATTACAATATTTATTGTCTTCTACATCTTAGATCGAGAAAACCTGAAAGAGGGAGAGAAAGAGAAACGAGTCACTACCACGGATTTTTGTCATCCAAGTACGCAGAAGTTGTATAATAACATTTGGTATAAAGTTTTTGTTTCACTATAGTTTGAAGCCTCGTAAATGGCAAATTTTGAATATCAATCGGAATCTTATTATGGAAACGTATTCCTTAAATGAATTTGAGACTTTATGAAGACGACTGTCAGAAAGTAACATTTGTTTGTTTATTTTAATGTTATTCAAATTATTATTATTTTAACTTTACGTTCAACACCTGATTGGGTACCCGGCCGCTATAAGCAGCCGTTGCAACTTTTTTAGTCGCAATAGAGTTCCTTATAAAAGAGTTCATCTAGGGAAGTACTGCCACGTTACCATTATATGCATATATGCGTTACCATTATAGCATTACTGTGTTCCAGTTTGAAGGGCGCTGGTGAAATTACAGGCACATGAAGCTTGACAACTTATATCTCAGGGTGATGGGCGCAGTAGCAGTGCCCTCAAGGTCTTTGCGATTTAAGCTCTGAGTGGCACTGCAACTGTTATGGATAGGCATGTCGCTTACCACCGAGCGCACGACTGGTTCGTCCCGTCACTTGATGTCATAAAAAAAATCGGCCGTCGTTTGGCGAACACGACCGAGTCGCCTGACTTTTTTTTTAAATAAAATGTGAGTGTGCATGTGAGGTCGATGGAGCGTACACATCTAAATAATACCTATTCACTCTCGCCTGAAAAGGCCCAAGATATAACGATCAGGAAACACGTCTGCAGGTAGGGAATTCCACTCTTTAGCCACTAGCCATATAAATATGGAAGCGTAACGCTTCGTGCGGATCTTTGTAGTATATTATTTCGAAACGTAACTGCCGAAAAAGGTTTATTTGGCAAGCCAATGTGGAAGGTATTCAGGCTGCAATTTTTTGTAGCAGTAGAGTTTAATAATAATAACGCACACACTCAACATAGCCCCGCACTAAGGAAACCCTGTGTCGCGGGTGCCATGGGCGCATCAATAGACAACCACAAATTATACCCAAACTCACGAGAAAAAAAAATAGGCCATACAAATATTTCTCCCGGCCCGGGAATCGAACCTGGGACTTCAGCGTGGCAGTCCGGCATGGTAACCGTTCAATCACAGAGGCAGTTACAGAGGCACTTTGGAATATTCACAACATAGGGGTGGTACCCAAGCCTACGTCTGGTCCCGCGATGGTGGAAAGGGGAAGGTGGAATCAAATTATGCAGTTCCATCGCAGATTCTCCTTGATTTATCCTGTAGAAACTGATAAAATATAGAAGTATATCATCATATTTAAGCACCATGGAAATATTATATAACTGGTGCCACAGTCGCTATTATTTTTAATCTATTTGCAAGTCTCAGCTGCACAGACATGTGTAAACTGCACAAGTAACATCAAACAAATTCAACCAGTCGCAGTTTCAAGTAACGCAAACAAGTTTTAACATTAAGTTAAATCTTACTTTACTCGCCAACGAACAATCCGAAGTTCCCTGACTCCAAAATACATTTGTATTACTGATGGGATTTCTTAGTAAGCAATTTAAATTTCAAGTCCCTTTGCTTTAGTACAACATGTGAAGTGCCTTTGGGACTTCAGTGCAAAACTGAGTTTCATTATTTATGTCTCTTAATGGAGTTATTAGGAACGCCGCCATTTATTAATTTGGTTCTTTTTAAAAAGCTCTTTGTGCGGGTTTTGTTCAGAATTACATATAGAATTTAATTAAATTCATTATTTTTGTAACAAATAAAGCGTTTAGACTTGAAGACATTACTGCAGATTTAGTGAAGTTCTTGCTTATGTTTTTTTTTAGTAATAATTAGAACTTAATTGATGAAAAGCCAAAAGATCATTAACTACAGCATATTTTTTTATGAGAATTATATCAATAGTTTAGTTAGAGCGATTTTTAAACCAGCTGCAAAGTTGTAGGTTTTATTTAATATAATAGCCCATATAATAATAATAACAATAATGCAAAGTAAAAAAGTAAAGTATGAGTTCCAGGGAAGTGCTGCCACCTTACCCATTTCTGCCGCCAAGCAGTAACGAAAGCATTATTGCGTGCCAGTTTGGAAGGGTAAGGGTGCTGGTGAAATTACAGGCACATGGGACTTGTCAACTTATGTCTCAGGGTGATAAGCGCTGTGACAGTGTGCCTCAGATCTTTGCGATTTAAAGCTTTAAGTGGCATTACTGTTATAGACAGGCGTGTCGCTTACCATCAGGTGCACAACTTGTATGTCCCACCCCAATAATAACCTGGTCTGCAAGTGGGGAATTCTCTGTCCTTCCTGGAATCGAAACCCAGGAACTCCTGCAGTGCAAACAATTGGGCCACCGAGGTCGTCTGGTTGGTAGGTGTGCAATGTGCATGCTACGTCGTCGATCTCATCGTCACTTTCCACCAGGTGAGATGGAGGTCACGTGCGCACTTATTTTTTATGAAAAAAAAAATAATTTTGCTTAGTTCGAGCGGCAGGGACGCTGGTTTCATTTTAGAATTTATTTTTTTACAAACGAAATTAAAACCATTTGAAAAAAACGTATGCTATACGCAATTGGCCTTATTTTAAATGTTGTTTTCAGAAAGAAATCCCGTATCATGCCCAATAGTCACCTCTGCGGTTCCACTTTGCAACACATGCAAGTTCTTAAGCTTCACTATAGACTCAAACTTAAACTTAAGTTCAGTCTCTGTGCGAGAAACTTGGACGTGCTACGTGCCACTGCGGTGTTGAGGCGACGTACTTTGCATACTTTCACTCATTGATGTCCTATGATATTACAATGTGGGGAATTCAACTGAGTCCAAAAGGGTATTCGTTCTCCAGAAACGCGCACTACGAACCATAGTAGGCATAAAAGGTAATCAGTCCTGTAGACGCCTTTTTCGAAAGCACCACGTGATGACAACATATGCACAGTACATTCACGGTGTAATTGTTTTTGTGCGTAAAAACATACATATTTACGAGCGGTGCACGGGCGGAGGCCGACTATTGAGACGACGACTACGTAACATAGGAACATTGATATTTAAGAGACATCCGCGAGTAATCGGGCCCCGATTTTACGAACACCTACCCACAAGTCTAAAAAGTGTTACAAATGACGAAGTGTTTTGTTCTCGACTGAAAGAACTTTTATAGTGTAGAGGAATTTCTATTAAAGAAATTGTAATTATATTTTAATTTTGTACGTTTGTATTTTGAAAATATGTAAAGTTTTATTTGTATTTTAGTAGTTCGTATTTTACTTTATTTTTCTTTTAATTATTTTATTTTATATTAACAATAAAATTATTATTTACATTAATGACGATCATGTTATCCCTTGACATTATATTTCGAGTTGTAATATTTTGAAATTGATAATGTGAAATAAATGATTCTATTCTATTCTATTCTACGTGTTCTATTTAGTTCAGTTGATAAAAATATCATTGGTATATGTAAAGTAACCTATTATTGGATACACCACCACCGTTTTCTTGTACAATTTCGAGGTAAGTTTGTATTTTTTATGTGCCGAGAATATTTTTAGGAATCGAGTTTTCACACCGTATGTTGATCAGTGTATAGGTATCTTCAATTTTACTATACATAGTTTGTCCAAAGTGGTTAATTCTACACTTTCAGTGTTATGTGGAATAAACCAAAACCATTTGAGGTTGTATAGACTCGTAAATCTAAACGCTTCATTAATTACAAAAACGTTAGCCAACATACTGGTAGCGTTATAACGTATATTTAAAGCGAAAGAAAATTTTTCAATTGGGTTTTTTTTGCCTTACATTTTATAGGGATTTGGATATACATTACGCTTGTCTTTTTATATAACAAAACAAGACTTTTAATGGAATTTAAACCATTTAAACCATTTGCAATGGAACATATAACTGGAAAATCCTGTAAAATACAACAAAACGACCTGAGAGTTGAATGTCGCGAGTTTCGGGTCAGCTAACACGCTCAACATTTAAAAAATATCATATGGCCTGTCGGTTAGATATCTGTATGCTTGTTAACATAAGTTTGCTAATTAATAGAGTCCTTAAAAGCAGGAGGCAAATCTCAACGGTCATCTTTTTTAATGATTGCTCATCATACTCTGAGACATAAAATAAATTAAATAGATCGATATTTTAATCTGTTCTGAGCTACGCAAAAAAAATTTTTATTTTTATAAATTAACTTTGATAGTTTTATGTTGGGCCTCAAAACTTGGAAAAAATAAAATTTAGATACTTATTTTTAATCCTAAGTAAATGTTGGTTATATTTGTATACTATTATGATATTATAATGTAATTTGACCTCAAAACATGTTATTAGAGATTAGAAGATCAATATAAAAAGATATACTGGTTTTATATATCATCAATCGTTAAAAGAAAAGACCAATATTAAAAAAAGAGGATCGAATATTATTTTTGAATACCAAATATCAATTTAGTTTAGCCCTAGATCAATTAATATGTATGGAATAATTAATATATATATCAACATAAAAGAATATTGTTTTCTCAAAAAGTGCATATTTACAATTGTTCAATTATTTATTTGAGGATCAAATAATATTATCAAATTAATTAATATTAAGGGGTGGCCTGTGACTAAATTCAATATTAATAAGATTTAGGGCAACATTTTCTATTAGAATAACGCAATTACTAGGTGTTAATTATCGATTACTGATTAGATAATTCGTGTATTTTTGATGTTCATTACATTTAGAAATCTTGTTTAGTTTTTTTTTTGTAATAATTATAAATCCTTTCTTTAGTAAACTAATCACTTTTGATATATTATATTTTTAAAAACAAAAATCTTATTCCGAATTGAAAGACACACTTCTCTTAAAATGTCGATCATTGATGCGATTACCCTGCATAAAACAAACGTTCCGGGTACTATCTTTTCAATGCAGAATTTATTTTTAAAAATCACATTAAAAGGCTACACAAAAAATTACTGGAAAAGAAATAAAGTGTCACAGACAACCTTATGACAGCAGTTATTACGTTCCAGTTTTACCACACATTTTAAGTCTCTGTTTTTTTTTTCTGTTTTCCCGACACACATTCATGCGATTTTTTAATATCAAATAATGTATCACTGTCTATTCCGGTTTTCGTCTTATTTACCCACCCTAAAAGATTACAGTAATATTGCCGACAGTACCAGGGCAACAGAACCCCAACGGAACCGAGAGCGGGACGAGAAAAATTACATCGCCTTATATTAACTCTGTTACAAACCACGCGTCAATGTAAATGTGAGTGATACATATGTCACATAATACTTCTCTACAACTGCTGTGTAAGGGCTTGGAAAATGATTTAGAGGCATTTAATTTTTTTCTTCTCGTTTGGACCAAAATCTGGTTACCATTAGGTTGCTAACAGATTGGCTGCATCAAGTTGATAACGACTTCA